CGCAGCTCTCAAAGTAATCCTAAACAACTTTGCGCAAGCTACAGGCCTGACCATCAACTTCTCCAAAACTACTCTAGCCACTCTCCACACAGATGACACTATGGCCACTGCCACTGCCCTTGCCATGGGCTGCACCCGCGCGCCCTTTCCTCAACCTTACCTCGGCCTACCTCTTGCCCCAACCAAACCTCCAGCCAATGCCTTCGCTCCCTTGATAGAACGCTCTCGCAAATGAATGACGGGTTGGCGTGCCAAACTGCTAGACAAAGGTGATCATCTCATCCTCATCTCCGCAGTTTTAGACTCCCTCCTCACCTATTTCATGTCGGTATTTCGCATCCCTAAAAAGGTCCTCAAAACCATCGACTACCTACGAAGGGCCTTCTTTAGGGCGGGGGAGGATTCCTGTTCAGGAGCTCAATGCCTTATTGCATGGAAAAATGTGTGTGTACCTAAAAAGTATGGTGGTTTAGGGCTCAAAAATATGCATGTTCAAAACAATTGCTTACTCATGAAATTCGCAGCTAAGGCCTTATCCTCTGCTCCGACCCCCTGGTTGGAATGGCTAGACCTTCAACACCCAAATGCACTAGTCTCCTCCTCCCCACAAACATCTTTCCTTTGCCGCACCATATCACAACAAATCCCCACCCTACAGACAATCTCCTTTGTTCTAACAAACAATGGTTCACACACATACTTCTGGCTTGACACTTGGTTGACCCTAGGTACCACCTTCCCCCACCTCTTCGCACACTCCACCCTAGAGCTAGTTAAAGTGGCTAATATTCTGTGTTTTGGTATGGAAGCTAACCTCCGTAATCGTCTCTCCCTTACGGCAGAACAAGAGCTCGTTTCACTTTTGGCTATTTTGCAGGACTTCGTACCTTCGGCGGAGGAAGACCAAACGTTCCTACATCGAGGTCATGACTTCTCCACCAAGCACGTGTACGGCGCCCTCATGGCTAGGCCTGACAACGATCCCCTTGCCCCTGTCATATGGTGTTCCAAGGCACCACGCAAGATCAAAAATTTTGCTTGGCTGCTCTTCAAGGACAGTCTCAACACTAGGGTCAACCTCGCCCACAAGTATATCATCTCCTCCGACATATGCCCTCGATGTGCTATGCTACCCGAAGATTCCATGCACCTCTTCGTCACCTGCCCACTTGCCAACCGGATTTGGCAGCGCATTGGTATCCTGCCTCAAACCGACGACATCGCTGAGTTATGGGATACTCCACTGCCCCATCACCTTCCCCAAAAAGCATGGTCTCTGGTTCTCATGTCACTACTATGGAAGATCTGGGCAGCGCATAATGATGTGTTGTTTAGAAGTGTTGATCAATGTTCTGTAATCTTTCCCTAATAATAAAGTACGAATTGACTCCATGAGTTCACCGTCACAATACGCTTCTTCCCGTGAATTTATGCTTTTAGTTTGAAGCTTTTTTCTTCCGCTCCTTTTTGAGGTGGTACTAAAATTCCCGTCTGCTTTTCCTATCCCCGTATTGGGCTGCCGCAGCAGTACATGTGTTCCGGCCTCGGCCCGCTCTGTTGCAGGATTCATATTTTATTTTTACCTATAGTGGGCTTACCTATAGTGGGCTGCCCAACGACAGCGCGTGCGATTGACTCATCTATACAAAAGCCACATGTTCTCCTTCAGTTAATAATCCCACATTGCTCTTTTACATCTAATCTCATCGGTTTATATATGCATGCCCTGGTGATCGAAACAAGCGGCCAATGAAAATTAATAAGCAGAGATGAACGCAGCGGTGGAGGTCTCGAGGGGGCCGTCGCTGGCGGAGAACCCCGAGGTGCAGCAGGAATACGCTCGATGGCGAGCCGAACAGAAGGGGGCGGGGCTAGAGATTCACCAGCCAGTCGGACTACTGGAGCAAGACCGGCGTCGCCTCCCTGAAGCAAGATTTGGGCAGCATCCGCCACCAACTCTCCCTCGGCGGCTCTCTCTTATCTCTCCCTGAAGCAAGAGGTGGACAGGGTGAAGCAACAACATGTGGATGAGGGACATCAGAATGCCGGAGCTCACCAGGGTTCAAGTCCTGGTGTTCGCATTATTTTAGATTTATTTCAGGATTTCCGGCGATGCGCTTTCAGTGGGAGAGACGTTCCCATTGAAGACGAGACGCCCGCGCTGACTTCGTAAATCTCAAGATGCTCATAGGGGTAGGGTGTGCGTGTGTACGTTTATATCGTTGAGTGTATACGCGTATGCATGAGCGCTTGCGTCTGTATTGTGTTCAAAAAATAGTGCAAGAAGAAGGAATATAATCTTGTAAACCAAACAACTAACATTCTCCTAACAAAATTAAGATAGTAAAAAAACACTTGCTTTCGAATATAAAAAAATTATAGAAATAATCCCACTTGGATCCATCACCACTCTTTATAAAAAAATTGAGGACACTGAGAATCATACCATCATGAACGGAGGTGGTTAATATGAAAATCGTCGGTGATGGCGAACATATGAGTAGACTATTTTTACTCCCGGTGCAACGCACAAGCACATCTTTTCCTAATAATAAAGCACGGATAATAATAAAGCACGGATTGACTTCGTTGGGTTCACCGTCACAATACGCTTCTTCCCGTGAATTTACGCTTTCAGTTTGAATTTAAAATGTATATACCAGGTGGTACTAATAAAATTTGATACGTCGCACGCTAGCCTCGCTCGTACAAAATCAAATTGCTAGCTATGGGCTATTGATCCTTCTATTATGGGCCTTCTCTTATGGGCCGTTAGCCAACTTTTAAAATTTCCTGGCAAGCA